CGGAAAGTAAGGAGATCCGGAATCATCCGGATCTCGGGGGGTAGTTCGTTCCAGAGGGTGGGGGCACCCACAGAGAAGGCCCTCCCCCTGGGGGTCGCCAGCCGACATTGCTTGGCCGACGGCACCCTGAGGAGACCCACTCTGTGGGAGCGTACCGGTCTATGGGAGGGAATCTGTGGCAGAAGGCGGTCTTGGAGATCAGTTTGATCAGTTTCCAACCATTGTTTCTCGTCCTGCCCTCTGGTGCTTTGGAGAATAGCTTGACTCCCTCTTCTTTGGGGCAGCCCCTCAGATACTGGAAGACTGCTATCATGTCACCTCTCGTCCTTCTCTTTTTAGATTAGACATACCCAGTTCAGAATACAGAATAATAAAGTTGGAAGGGACCTTGGAGGTCTTCTAGTCCAACCCCCTGCTCAAGCAGGAGAATCTCTACCATTTCCAACAAATAGCTGTCCAATCACTTCCTAAAAACCTCCAGTGATGGAGCACCTACAACTTCTGGTGGCAAGCAGTTCCACTGGTTAACTGTCCTTACTGTCAGGAAGTTTCTCCTTAATTCTAGGTTGCTTCTCTCTTTGGTCAGTTCCCAACCATTGTTTCTTGTCCTGCCCTCTGGTGTTTTGGTGAATAACGTGACCCCCTCGTCTTTGTCAAATACCGGAACGCTGCTATCATGTCCCCCCTATTTCTTCTTTTCTTTAGACTAGCCAAACCCAAGTCCCGCAGTCGTTCTTCGTCTGTTTTAGTCTCCAGGCCTTGGATCCTCTTCTCTGAACTTTTTCCAAACTCTCAACATCTTTTTTGCGACACGGGGACCAAAATCGGCTAATGTCTGGTTCCCTTTTCCCACGCCTCTCGTCCGGGCTCACCTTGCTCCGACGGACACTGAGGCATCGGCTGACGGCGTCGTCCACGTCCCCCCGGCTGGCCACCCAGGCGGCTTGGACTTCTTGGAGCGTGATGGCCCCCAGTCCACCGTCGGGCTCCTCCGCGCCCCGCTGAGTGGCCAGCTCCGCCACGCCTTCCAGGACGCAGGACAGCTCCGATTTCAGCCAGGCCAGGGGCAGCTCGGCTCCCGAGTAGCACAAGGCGGCCGCCACCATTTCGGGGGCCACGCCCACGCCCTCCGCCTCCTGCGGGGCCAAGGGACAAAGCCAGGTCAACGGGGGCCGAGACGACCGAGAGAGGACGCCGAAGCCGGTTGGCAACTATCTCGGCTGGGAAGAAGAATAAGTTGGAGGCAGTCCTCGGCTTAACGACCGTTTAATAACCCCTTGAGGAGACGACCACGGCTGATTAAATGGATTTGGAGATCCTTTTTCTGGTTTTTTGCAGGCGGTATGGGTGGATCCACTTGGCATCGATTGGGGGATTCTGGGCCAGTTGTTCTTAATCAGGCCAATCCACCTCACAGGGTTGTTGTGGTGGGGAAAATAGGAAGAGGAAAGAGTATTGTGTATGTTCACTAACTGGAGTTGTTCATTTTTTTTTAAAAAAAGGATAAATATAGACACCCCCACATACAGGCACACTTACCGAGGTGTCTATCTACCAGTATAATATGTGCATGTATAATTGTATCTATACGTATACATACACATACATACTATTTGTGTGTGTGTGTGTGTGTGTGTGTGTGTATCGAATCTCTCTTATCTATCTTATCATCTATCAAACTATATCCATCTATCTATCTATCTATCTATCTATCTATCTATCTATCTATCTATCTATCTATAAAACTATATCTATCTATCTATCAAACTCTATCAAACTCTATCTATCAAACTCTATATCTATCTATCTATCTATCTATCTATCTATCTATCTATCTATCTATAAAACTATATCTATCTATCTATCAAACTCTATCTATCAAACTCTATATCTATCTATCTATCTATCTATCTATCTATCTATCTATCTATCTCTATAAAACTATATCTATCTATCTATCTATCTATCTATCTATCTATCTATCTATCTATCTATCTATCTATCTCTCTATAAAACTATATCTATCTATCTATCTATCTATCAAACTATATCTATCAAACTCTATATCTATCTATCAAACTATATCTATCAAACTCTATATCTATCTATCTCTATAAAACTATATCTATCTATCTATCAAACTATATCTATCAAACTCTATATCTATCTATCAAACTATATCTATCAAACTCTATATCTATCTATCTATCTATCTATCTATCTATCTATCTATCTATCTATCTATCTATCTATCTATCACTATATCTATCAAACTCTATCTATCAAACTCTATATCTATCTATCTATCTATCTATCTATCTATCTATCTATCTATCTATCTATCTATATCTATAAAACTATATCTATCTATCAAACTATATCTATCAAACTCTATATCTATCTATCTATCTATCTATCTATCTATCTATCTATCTATCTATCTATCATCTACCTACCTAACTACCACTCAATCTATATCCATCCATCTATAACTATCTATCTATGTATCTATGTATCTACCTACCTACCTACCTACCTATCAAACTCAATCTATATCCATCCATCCATCCATCCATCCATCCATCCATCCATCTTTATCTATCTATATCTATTTGTCTGTCCGTCCATCCATCCATTTCTATCTAATCACCTGCCTTAACTGCTATATAAGTAATCAAAGGCAGCAAACATTCCTCCCATATGTTTCTGTGTGTCTGTTTGTGTATACATTAACATGTACATAGACAGAGTTGCATAAAAACAAGGAAAGCCTGTCTACAAGAGAAAAAAAAAGTGTTTGGTCAGGCTTGCTATCCAAAGGCCCCTGGACCCCCAAAGATGGCACTCCCGCTAGATGAACTACAGTTCCCACAGTTCCCCAGCCGGCGTTCGATTGGAAGGAGACGCCTTTTAAGGGTTGAAAAGTGATTGTGGGGGGGGGCTCGCTTGGCGGGTGGGGGGAGGGCTCACCCTGATCATGGCCACCATCTTCTGCCCGTCGTCCCGCAGCTTCACCTGTCTCTGATGCTCCGCCTCCTCGGGTGAGTTGGGTGGGGCTTTCCACAGGCCCTGGGGCTCCCCGGGGGCTTCCACCACCTGTCTCTTCAGCCGGCCCACCTCGTCCTTCTCGGCCCGGGATGGGGGCTGGGGATCACCGTGCAGGCTGGTGCAATTGCACATCTCGCAGATCCGTCGGTGGACGCTGTTGCGGAAAGTGCAGTGTTCGCACTGCCAGCTGGGGGCCTGTGGGAAGAGAGGGGGTCCGGGTTCTAGATCAGCGCCAGGGTGCAAGATCGGGCTCTGCTTAAGATCGGAGTTTGAGATTGAGCATGGGGAAGATCAGACACTGACACATCTAGTCCGGCCTTTCTGAGGCCTGATCAAAGCCGGCTGGGTCACTTTGGGCCGATCACCAGGTGCCAATGAGTTCTAGTCCGACCTTAGGCGTAAAAGCTGGGTGGGTGACTTTAGGTCAATCTCCAGGTGCCGATGAGTTCTAGTCCGACCTTAGGAATCAAAGCCAGGTGGCTGATTTGGGGCCAACCACCAGGAGACAGTGAGTTCTAGTTTGGACTTAGGCATGAAGGTTGGCTGGGTGACTTTGGGCCAATCACCAGGAGACGGTGAGTTCTAGTCCCGCCTTAGGCATGAAAACTAACTGGGTGACATGAAAGCTGGTTGGGTTACCTTGGGCCAGTCACCAGTGAATTCTAGTCCTGCCCTAGATATAAAAGCCGTCTGGGTGACTTTGGCACCAATCACCAGGAGACGGGGAGTTCTAGTCCCACCTTAGGCATGAAAATTATCTGGGTGACTTTGAGCCAATCATCAGGCAACAGTATATTCTAGTCCCGCCTTAAATACGAAAGCTGGCTGGATGACTTTGGGCCAAGCACCAGGCGACGGTGAATTCTAGTCCCGCCTTAAATACGAAAGCTGGCTGGATGACTTTGGGCCAACCACCAGGCGACGGTGAGTTCTAGTCCCGCCTTAAATACGCAAGCTGGCTGGATGACTTTGGACCAACCACCAGGCGACGGCGAATTATAGTCCCGCCTTAAATACGAAAGCTGGGTGGATGACTTTGGCCAATCACCAGGAGACGGTGAGTTCTTGTCCCGCCTTAAATAGGAAAGCTGGCTGGATGACTTTGGGCCAACCACCAGGCGACGGTGAATTCTAGTCCCACCTTAAATACGAAAGCTGGCTGGGTGACTTTGGGCCAACCACCAGGCGACGGTGAATTCTAGTCCCACCTTAAATACGAAAGCTGGCTGGGTGACTTTGGACCAACCACCAGGAGACGGTGAGTTCTAGTCCCGCCTTAAATACGAAAGCTGGCTGGATGACTTTGGGCCAATCACCAGGAGATGGTGAGTTCTAGTCCTGCCTTAAATACGAAAGCTGGCTGGGTGACTTTGGGCCAAGCACCAGGCGACGGTGAATTCTAGTCCTGCCTTAGGTATGAAAGCAAGGGGGGAGGATGACTTTGGTCCGGTCCCTCCCTCCCTCCCAGTCCATCCCACCTCGCAGGGTTGTTACTGTGGGGAAAACAGGAAGCGGAACGGATACTGAACACCTCCACCCCCTTGAGTCGTTTGTCAGGACACAAATCAAGAAATAAAGTCACCCATTTGCCGTATTGGCTATCCAGCTCCCGATATCTCCGGTTGGTGTTTTCCAAGGGTTAAAAAAAAAAACCCCAAAGTTTTAAAAGCAAAACTTTGAAAACTTAGGGAACCCACCCCCCCCAGTACTCACATCTTCCTGCTGGGGTCCGCTCTCCTCCCCCCAGGCTATCAGGGGCTTGGCGTCGCCGGTGCCCGGTCTGCCGGCCAGGCGCGGCCTCTCGCAAACGGCGCACAGGACGGTGGCCGACTCGTTCTCAAAGGTGCAGGTCTGGCAAGACCAGCGCCCTCTAGCCAACTGGCCTTGGTGAGTCAGCTCGTCCTCCAGGCCGAGGGTCTGGGGGGTCTTGCACCCCCGAGGCCGGTCGCAGTTGACGCAAAGGACGGAGGAGGCATCGTTGTTCTTCTGACAAGCTGCGCAGCGCCAGGGCGGGCGCGGACTGGGCAGGCTGCGGGAGGCGGAGAGTGGGGGGAGGCTGGGGGGCCGCAGAGAAGCCGTCTCCGAGGGGATGCTGGAGAGGCTGCAAAGAGGGGAGAATTTCAATTTAAATTGAGATTTAAGTGAATCGCAACGGAGTGATTAATCGATAAACTAATAAACCTAACTGAATAAAGCATTTGGTGCATCCTTGGCTTACAGCGGGGGTCTTCAAACCTGGCCCTTTTATGACTGGTGGACTCCAACTCCCAGAATTCCTCAGCCAGGAAGATGGATTAGGGGTGGGGAACTATGGCCCCTCTTATGACTGCTGGACTTCAACTCCCAGAATTCCTCAGCCAGCGTGCCTGGCTGAGGAATTCTGCGAGTTGAAGTCCTTAGATCAGGCGTCTTCAAACTTGGCCCTTTTATGACTTGTGGACTTCAACTCCCAGAATTCCTTAGCCAGCAAGATGGATTAGAACAGGGGTGGGGAATTCTGGGAGTTGAAGTCCACCAGTCATAAAAGGGCCAAGTTTGAAGAATTCTATTCTATTCTATTCCATTCTATTCTATTCTGTATTTTATTATTCTATTCTATTCTATTCTATTCTATTCTATTCTATTCTATTCTATTCTATTCTATTCTATTCTATTCTATTCTATTCTATTCTATTCTGTATTTTCTTATTCTATTCTATTCTATTCTGTATTTTATTATTCTATTCTATTCTATTCTGTATTTTATTTTTCTATTCTATTCTATTCTGTATTTTATTATTCTATTCTATTCTATTCTATTCTGTATTTTATTATTCTATTCTACTCTATTCTATTCTACTCTATTCTATATTCCATTCTATTCTATTCTATTCTATATTACATTCTATTTCTTATTCTATTCTATTCTATTCCATTCCATATTTTCTATTCTATTCTATATTCCATTCTATTTCTTATTTTACTCTATTTTATATTCCATTTGTTATTTATTCTCTTCTATTCTACATTCTATTATTATTCTATTCTATATTCTACATTCCAATCTATTCTATTCTATTTTCATTCCATATTTCCTATTTTCCATTCCTTATTCCATTCCAATTATTATTTGCATCCCGAGGCTACCTGGGGTTGGGGGGTGGTGGGGGACTCTGCCATGCTCTGCCAGGGTTCTTCATGGGCACCCGATGGTGATGCGTCCGGGAAGGATGCTTGTGAAACAGCCAGTCGCAGTTAGGACACAAACTCTGATTGCAAGCCTCGCAGTGCTGCGACGGAGCTTCTAAACCGCAAAGCAGGCAGGTGTCTGGAGGCAGGTTCCCTGCAGGCCGGAAAAAGGGGAGGGGGGGCGGGGAAAAAACCCACAACAGTCTCAAGTTTTGTTCTGCTTATGTCTGAAAAAAACCAACATTCAGTTCCATCTCTACATCAGATGCAGCTTTTATTCCAGGGGTCTTCAAACTAGGCCCTTTGATGACTTGTGGACTTCAACTCCCAGAATTCCTGGCTGAGGAATTCTGGGAGTTGAAGTCCATAAGTCATCAAAGGGCCGAGTTCGAAGACTCCTGCTTGTGGACTTCAACTCCCAGAATTCCTCAGCCAGGCACACTGGCTGAGGAATTCTGGGAGTTGAAGTCCACAAGTCATCAAAGGGCCGAGTCTGAAGACCCCTGCTTGTGGACTTCAACTCCCAGAATTCCTCAGCCAGGCACATTGGCTGAGGAATTCTGGGAGTTGAAGTCCACAAGTCATAAAGGGGCCAAGTTTGAATATCCTTGTTTTATTCCAAAGCTGGGCAGGAATTAATACAGGATTTGCAAGTAGTCCACAACTGAGCCGAAAAATTTCGGTTGCTAAGTGAGACACTTATGAGGTGAATTTTGCCCCATTTTACAAACCTTTCCTGCCAGTTTTGTTCAGCGAATCGCCCTATTTGTTAAGTGAGCCACACGGTCGTTAAGTGAATCCGGCTTACCATCCCGTTGACTCTGCTCATCAGAAGGTCGCAAAAGGGGATCACGTGACCCAGGGACGCTGCGACCGTCATAAATGTAAGCCAGGTGCCAAGGGTCTGAATTTCGATCACGTGACCACAGGGAGGCCACAACCGGTCGTAAGTGTGGAAAACGTTCATAAGTCCCTTTTTTAAAAGTGGCGTCGTAACTTGGAACGGTCATTAAACGACTAGGAAGCCTTCTAGAGCCGTGTTCCTCAAATCTCAACTGCTGGAAGATATGTGGACTTCAACTCCCAGAATCCCCCAGCCAGGCTCATATTTATGACAAACTGCAGTGTCCTGGATGTGTGTGTGTGTCACGTGATCCCCTTTTGCGACCTCTTCTGACAAGCAAAAATCAACCAGGAAGCCAGGTTTACTTAACGACGGCGTGACTGAAGCGATTCACTTAACAACCGCTGCAGGAAAGGTCGTAAAATGGGGCAAAACCCCCTGAACCGCTGCCTCGCTTAGCAACGGAAATTTTGGGCTCCCCCGTGGTCGTAAATCGAGGCTGGCTGGGGGATTTTGGGAGTTGAAGTCCACCGCTCTTCAAGCGGCCGAGGTTGGAGAAACGCCGCTCCGGATGTCCTGCCATTGGTTCAGAAGACCCTTAAAACGTCTGCCCCTGCCTCTCGTCTAAACGGCATCTCGGTTTGATGATGATCCTGGCTTGTAGGACAAAATAAGCCCCGCGAACGTGACTATAACCCTAACCGCCAACCAGCGGCGGCTCTTTTCTCCCGTTACCTGCGTGAGAGATGGCCAAAAGCGGATTCAGAGGTCCGGCATCGGCGGCCTTGTGGACCTGGAGAAAGACAGAAGAATGAGGACCACCGAAGGAGGAGGAGCTAAAGGGGCTTTTCTTCAGCAGGCAGATGGACTTCCTTGTTTGTCTTTGAAGACGTTTCGCTTCTCGTCCCAGAAGCTTCCTCAGGTTCTGACTGGATGGAGGGAAAGATTTATACTCCTTGCAGANTCCCTTCCTCCCTGTTCCTTCTTCCCTCCCTGTCCCTTTTTCCCTCCCTCCCTCCTTCCCACCCTCCCTTTGTGGCTTCGAGGCTGGAGGGGCTGGTGAGGTGGGGGGGGAGGGGGTGGCGCTGATCTACAACCTGGTTGCGTCCATCAAAGCCAGAAAGCGCTCAGCCGAAGATCCACTGGAACCCGCCAGGAGCTCCAGAGAATAAACTTCCTACCTCGCTCTCCCTCCTTTTGGCCTGTCTCTCCGGAAAAGAGAAAACAAAATCTTCTTTCCCCCAGTCAATCTGCTCTTCCCCTTTAAAAATCCCTCCCCAAACCCCCCCCCCCAGCCAGCCACCGCGGAGGCCACCGGGAGCTCCGGGCCTCCCTGCCAGCGCCAATTCTCTCCCCCCCCATTCCACTCTCCGCTACACTTCCTTCCTTCTCATCTCTTTCCTTCCTCCACGCTCAGGAAGGGCTGATGGGGGGGAGAGGCTGCCGATCCCGCGTGCAGGGGGGGGTCTGTGCCGGTGAAAGGAAAGTCTCGTGGCTGTGAGGCTGGAGGTACTGGTGGGGGGTTTGGCGCTGATCTACAACCTGGTTGCGTCCATCGAAACCAGAACGCGCTCAGCCTAAGATCCCACTGGAACCAGCCAGGAGCTGCCCCCCGCCGTGTTCTGGCTTCGATGGACGCAACCAGGTTGTAGATCGGCGCCCGGTCGGCCTGCGCCGGGCCGAGGGCCGGTCCTTCGCTCTTTCCAGAGCAGATTCCCCGGGCCGGACGGAAGCACATTTCGGGCCGCACGTGGCCGGCCCGCAGGCCTTGGTTTGACACGGGTCTTTTTTTAGAGAGTCGTTGAGGCCACTTGGAGGTTTGCCTGTGTCCTCAGTTGTCCCAAAGGTGCTTTTTGAAGGGGCACCTGGACTTGTTTGTCTTTGAAGACGTTTCGCTTCTCATCCCAGACGCTTCCTCGGGTTCTGACTGGATGGAGGGGAGCGGAAGGATTTATCCTCCTCACAGATTTGTCCTCCTCGCAGCTGGTCATTTGCATTCTTTTAGAGAGTCGTTGAGGCCACCTGGAGCTTTACCTGTGTCCTCAGGGTCAACAGGGAAGGGACCCAGGGTAGAAAACATCCTGCAGCCAAGATGGCTCCACACCCCCCCATTTGCACCACTCAGGTGACCCCGAGGACACAGGTGGCCTCAATAGCTCTATAAAAGGCAAATGACCAGCTGTCTGTGAGGAGTATAAATCCTTCCATTTTCCCCCACCATCCAGTCAGAGCCGAAGAAGCTTCTGGGATGAGAAGCGAGACGTTTTCAAAGAACAAGGAAGTCCAGTTGCCTCGTGAAAAAGCACCTTTGGGACAACTGAGGAGACAGACAAGCACCTCCAGGTGGCCTCAACGACTCTCTAAAAGAATGCAAATGACCAGCTGTCTGCGAGGAGTATAAATCCTTCCATTTTCCCCCACCATCCAGTCAGAGCTGAAGAAGCTTCTGAGATGGGAAGTGAAACGTCTTCAAAGAAACTCCACACAAGGTTTCATCTCTCGAAGGTCAAAGAAGCCCCTTGAAGAAAATTTGNTTTGGAAGCCATCTTGAAGGGAGAAAGACCGACCCACAGACCAGCTGATAATCCTTCTCACTCCGGATCCGGGAGTCCTCGATTTATGACCACAGCTGAGCCCAAGCTTTCTGCCGCTAAGTGAAACGCTCGTTCCGTGAATCTTGCCCCATTTTACAAACCTTTCTCGCTAAATGAATCGCCACAGTCGTCAGTCAACAACGCTGTTGTTAAATGAATCTGGCTCCTTCATTTTGTTAGAAAGATCGCAAAATGGGGTCACGTGACCCCGGGACACTGCAACCGTCATAAATACGAACAGGGTTGCCAAGTGTACGAATGTGGATCACGTGACCCAGGGGGAATACTGCAACGGCCGTAAGTCCGAGGACCGGCTATAAGTCACTTTTTTCCCAGTGTCGTTGTTAACTTGAACAGTCACTAACTGAACTGTTGTTAAGTCAAGGACCACCTGTAAGGGGGACTCTCTCCATCATCCACAGCCAGCACGTTTGGTGGGGGATGATGGATCCCAGATGGAGAAGCTGAAGGAATACAGCTGATTTTTTCAAGGTTAGACCAATTAAGACCAAATAGGATTCAGACACTCACGATCACAATTGCAACTCACAATCCCTGTTGGTTGTTAAGTAAGTTGCGCCTGATTTTATGATCTTTTCTCCCCCACGGTCGTTAAGTGAATCGCCAAGGTCATTAAGCGAATCACATGATTGTTAAGCAAATCCACCACTGACTTTGCTTGTTGGAAGCTGGCTGGGAAGGTGGGAAATGACGATTACGTGACCCTGGGAGGCGGCCACTGTCCTAAATCCACGCCTAGCTTTGATCACAGGAACGCTGTGACGGTCGTAAGTGCGAAGCCTGGTCAATAGTCACTTTTTTCAGTGCTGAGGTAACTTCGGATGGTTCCTAAATGAATGGTTGTTAAGTCGAGGACTAACTATGCCGATGTTTCTCAACCTTGACTGCTTGAAGATGTGTGGACTTCAACTCCCAGAATTCCCCAGCCAGCCAAGCTGAAGTCCCCACATCTTAAAGTTGGCCCTTTGCTGGCTGGGGAATTCTGGGAGTTGAAGGCCCCACATCTTAAAGTTCACCCTTTGGTGGCTGGGGAATTCTGGGAGTTGAAGGCCCCACATCTTAAAGTTGGCCCTTTGCTGGCTGGGGAATTCTGGGAGTTGAAGGCCCCACATCTTAAAGTTCACCCTTTGGTGGCTGGGGAATTCTGGGAGTTGAAGTCCCCACATCTTAAGGTTGGCCATTTTCTGGCTGGGGAATTCTGGGAGTTGAAGTCCCCTCATCTTAAAGATGGCCATTTGCTGGCTGGGGAATTCTGGGAGTTGAAGTCCCCTCATCTTAAAGATGGTCCTTTGGTGGCTGGGGAATTCTGGGAGTTGAAGTCCCCACATCTTAAAAGTTGGCCATTTGGTGGCTGGGGAATTCTGGGACTTGAAGTCCCCACATCTTCAGGGTTGAGAAACGCTACTATAACAAAACCACACCCAGCAAGGGCCCCCATCCCACCTACTCCAAAGCCTGCAGGACCCACCTCACTCCATTCTTTACACACACACCCCCAGCCTGCCCCAGAGCGCTACTCACCTGTAAGGCCTGGCCCCCTTGCATTAATTCTTGCAACATCCGAGGATTTGGATGCGTTTCCTATAGCAGCAAAAAGAATCACAAGCCTGCTTCAACTCTTAGCAGGGACCCCCGAGAGGTTACACAGCCCCCTCCAGCCCAGGTTGGTCTCAGCCCCACCCCACCCCACCAGCCCTCTGTACCGAGAGGAGAAGGTTCAGCTCCGCACGGAGTAGCATGACGTCCACTGTGACGGAGGCCACGTGAGGAATGTCTGGCTCAACTTGATGATCCGGGAAGTAGAGCCCATCGGCCTTTTGTTCCAAGTAGCCGTATAGCCGGAGAACGTCTCGTCCACCCTGCCGGAACAGAAGGCGTTATTTTGGCGGGCAAAGGGGTGACATGTACAAAAAAGAAAGGGAGAGAGAGAGAGAGAGAAAAGAAAGAGAGAGAAAGAGAGAGAGAGAGAAAGTAAGAGAGAGAGAAAGAGAGATAGAGGAGAGAAAGAAAAAAGAAAGGGAGAGAAAGAGAGAGAGAGAAAAAGGGAGAGAGAGGACAGAAAGAAAAAAGGAGAGAGGGAGAGAAAGAGAGAGAGGAGAGAAAGAAAAAAGGAGAGAGGGAGAGAGAGAGAAAGAGAGAGGAGAGAAAGAAAAAAGGAGAGAGGGAGAGAGAGAAAGAGAGAGAGAAGAGAAAGAAAAAAGAAAGGGAGAGAGAAGGAGAAAGAGAGAAATAGAAAGTAAGAGAGAGAAAGAAAGAGAGAAGAAAAAAGAAAGGAGAGAGAGAGAAAGAGAAAAGAGAGAAAGGGAGAGAGAGAGAAAGAGAGAGAGAGGAGAGAAAGAAAAAAGAAAGGGAGAGAAAGAGAGAGAAAGGGAGAGAGAGGAGAGAAAGAAAAAAGGAGAGAGGGAGAGAGAGAAAGAGAGGAGAGAAAGAAAAAAGAAAGAGAGAAAGGGAGAGAGAGAGAAGGAGAAAGAGAAAGTAAGAAAGAGAGAAAGAAAAAAGAAAGAAAGGGAGCGAGAAAGAGAGAGAGAAAGGGAGGAGAGAAAGAAAAAATGAGAGAGGGAGAGACAGAAAGAGAGAGAGAAGAAAAAGAAAAAAGAAAGAGAGAAAGGGGGAGAGAGAGAGGAGAAAGAGAGAAATAGAAAGTAAGAGAGAGAAAGAGAGAAAGAAAAAAGAGAGAAGGAGAGAGAGAAAGAGAGAGAAGAAAGGGAGAGCGAGAAAGGGAGAGAGATAAAAAGGGAGAGTAAGAGAGAAAGAAAGGAGAGAGAGAGACAGAAGAGAAAGAGAGAGAAAGAGAAGAAAGAGAGAAAGAAGGAGAGAGGGAGGTAGACTCTTGCAAAATCCGATGCCAACTCTTATTTAAAACGTTTGGAAATGGCCGGAAAAGAAAGCATAATTTCAGCCGATCCGGAAGGCAAACAACAAAGAGTGACACACCTACATATACAAACACATACACAAACACACAAAGAGAGACAGGTGGCCTTTTGCAAAGGGTTACACGATGGCGATCCTTATTTAAATCGTTTGGAAATTGCTGGAAAAGAAAGGATAATCTCAGCAGATTCGTTCATTCGTTTCCAAAGCGGGGGGGGAGCTGTCTTAAAAAAAATAAACTTTTAATGACTTGTGGACTTCAACTCCCAGAATTCCTCAGCCAGGCATGCTGGCTGAGGAATTCTGGGGGTTGAAGTCCACAAGTCATAACAGGGCCAAGTTTGAAGATGCCTGTTCTAAAGCCAATATTTCTCAACCTGGGCTACTTTAAGAGGGATGGACTTCAATTCCCAGAATTCCCCAGCCAGCATGGCTGGCTGGGGAATTCTGGGAGTTGAAGTCCACCCCTCTTAAAGTGGCGTAGGTTGAGACATACACACACACTGCTCTCAATCTGGAATAAATTGGGAAGCCCAGTAAAGTTTAACACACCGATTTTGCTTTATAAAAAAAATCTGGGAGATTTCTTCGCTCAACATAGACAGCATGCAGTAATCTGGGAAGCCCCGTGGGCTTGGTGGATTCCCTCAAGAAAGGATCCCAATTACGAAGGGCCTGCCCCGAGGCAGGAAATATTATCCACAACATTGTCAGTCCCTTCCCTGCAAATGCACCAGATAGGAAAAAAGAAAATCGGAATTTAAAAATGTCCAGTTTCATTTTGGCAGCCGCTGAGAAAAATGTCCGTCCATCTTTTCTTTTTTTTTTAAAAAAAGCCTCGGGAATCTTCTTCGGAAATAAAACTCAACTTTAAATCCAGCGGGATCCCCATCAAGATAGGGGGATCCAGCTTGGGGATGGGGGGGTGGGAGGCTTACCTGGATAGTGTCCACCGTATCCCGGAAGACGGGATTATTAAATTTGACCATGCGCCAGAAATAAGGTTTGCGAGGATGCAGGAGGTTGCGCCCGTATTTCTCCAGGATCTGGAAGGCGGTGGAGACCAAGCGGAGATCCACCTGGAACTGAAAGGGGATTGGCGGTTCGATAACGCCATATTTTTTTTTTAAAAAAAATTTAAATACAGAAGCCGGTGCCGGGTTCGAATGCAGCCGGCTTACGAGGCGTCCCAGAAGCACGGCCCTTGACTTGCTCCTACTCGTTTAGCGACCGCTGGAAGTTATCAGGGCGCGGAAGTGAGTTACGACCGGTCCTCAGACTTACGACGGTCGTAGCCGTCCCCCATTTTGTTGCTCGGCAACTGGCGTGTTATTGAAAATGGTTACGGTGTCCCGGAGTTACGGGATCACCGTTTGTGACCTCCCTACCTAGCTGGTTTTTTCGACTAGCCAAGTCAACGGGGGAAGCCAGATTCGCTTAAGAACCGTGCGATCCACTTAGCGACGGCAGGGATCCGCTTCAAAAAGCGGCAAAAAAAAAAAAAAGGACGCAAAGTTGGGCGCGAGTCACTTAACAACCGCCTGGCCGAGCCAGGGAAATTCTGGTCGCATTTGTGCAATGCGCCCTCTCAAACTGTTTTCTTTTGAGGACTAGAAGCCTTACTTTTTGGAAATGGAAGCTGGAGGACCGTGTCGCTAAATTGGGGTGATGCCCATCACCACGGAAAGAGAAATGACTCGAGCAGGATCCCATCCTTCCATCCTTGAACCCCAGATCCTACCTGGCCCCTTACGCCCAGTTCCCTTAAACTCCATTCCGCTTCCAAGCTGGGTTTGATTGCATTTTTTATTTATTTATTTCTATTTATTTGTTAATTTATAGGCCGCCAATCTCACTGTCAAGAGACTGGGGTGGGGGGGGTGGGGAGGGGGCTGAAAACAATATAAAAAACATAATATAAGACAATAAGTACATTTAAAAAAAGATTCGTTCACCTCTGCTTAATTGTCAGCCTTTACATCAGGGGTCTTCCAACTTGGCCCTTTGATGACTTGTGGACTTCAACTCCCAGAATTCCTCAGCCAGCATGCCTGGCTGGGGAATTCTGGGAGTTGGAGTCCACAAGTCATCAAAGGACCAAGTCTGAAGACGCCTGCTTGTGGACTTCAACTCCCAGAATTCCTCAACTAGGCACGCTGGCTGAGGAATTCTGAGAGTTGAAGTCCACAAGTCATCAAAGGACCAAGTCTGAAGACGCCTGCTTGTGGACTTCAATTCCCAGAATTCCTCAGCTAGGCACGCTGGCTGAGGAATTCTGGGAGTTGAAGTCCACAACTCATCAAAGGACCAAGTCTGAAGACGCCTGCTTGTGGACTTCAATTCCCAGAATTCCTCAACTAGGCACACTGGCTGAGGAATTCTAGGAGTTGGAGTCCACAAGTCATCAAAGGGACAAGTCTGAAGATGCCTGCTTGTGGACTTCAATTCCCAGAATTCCCCAGCTAGGCACGCTGGCTGAGGAATTCTGGGAGTTGGAGTCCACAAGTCATCAAAGGCCCAAGTTGGAAGACCCCAGCTTTACATGGTCAGTTTCTTCCCTTCGATGGGGAAAAAGTAGCATCACAGGCAGACATTCAGCAGGTAAAGCATCCAACACAGGCTCTACCTTTCCTCTTACCCCACTCCTCACCTCCTCCATGGCACTGAGGGTGGATTCCTCCTCCCCAAGAGGGGGGGGGAGTAGCATTGCAGGCAGACATTCAACAGGTAAAGCATCCAACACAGGACCTATCTTCCTTCTCACCCCATTCCTCACCTGCTCCTTGGCATTCAGGGTAGCTTCCTCTTCCCCCAATGGGGCAAAAGCGCATCACAGGCAGATGTTCAACAGGTAAAGCATCCAACATGGGATCTACCCTCTCTCTTACCCCACACATCTGCTCCTTGGTATTGAGAGTGGTTTCCTCTCCCCCAATGGGAAAAAAGAGCATCGTAGGCAGACATTCAACAGGTAAAGCATCCAATGCAGGATCTACCCTCCCTCTTACCCCACTCCTCACCTGCCCCTTGGCACTGAGAGTGGTTTCCTATCCCCCAATGGGGGAAAAAAGAGCATTACAGGCAGACATTCAACAGGTAAATCACTCAACACAGGATCTATCTTCCTTCTCACCCCATTCCTCACCTGCTCCTTGGCATTCAGGGTGGCTCCCTCTCCCCCAATGGGCAAAAAGAGCATCGCAGGCAGATATTCAACTGGTAAAGCATCCAAAGCAGGATCTACCCTCCCTCTCACCCCACTCCTCGCCTGCTCCTTGACGTTGGCTCGCAAAATGCCCCTGGCATCAATCTCCAGATACTTCTGGGCGGGGGGCAAGGGCGCTTCCACCAGGCGCTGCAAAAATTCGGCACTCTGTTCGGAAGGATTCCGGATCAAGGCGGCGACCAGCTCCTGCCGGAGGGCCGCGAACGTGCGCGTGGCCTCCCCCATTTCTGAGTCCCCCTGCAAAAAAATTAAAATAAAATAAATCACCAAGATAAAATGGAAAATTGGCGAAGAAAAAGCAACATTTCTTTGGAAGAAGCAAAATCGTTACGACAGCCCTTGCGGGTAGGCCAAAGGCGAAGCTTCATGCCAGGGCTTTTCAAACTTGGCCCTTTGATGACTTGTGGACTTCGACTCCCAGAATTCTGGGAGTTGAAGTCCACAGATCTTAAACAGGCTGAAGTCCACAAGTCATCAAAGGGCCAAGGTTGAAGACCCCCCTGCTTGTGGACTTCAACTCCCAGAATCCCTCAGCTAGGCACGCTGGCTGAGGAATTCTGGGAGTTGAAGTCCACAAGTCACCAAAGGGCCAATTTGGGACTCCGTAGGACTACAATACTGGTGATCTACATCAGAACCAAATTCTGCAAACTGACTGGGGAGATCTTGAAGTTGGAAAAACTCAAAACGTTTTTAGAGCCCCCCCCCAAAAAGTTATAAATTATAAAGCCAGCTGGGATGATTTTGGGGCCAGTCTCTCTCTCTCTCCCTTTCTATCTTTTTTCTTTCTCTCTTTCTCCCTTTCTTTCTCTTTTTTTCCCCTCTCCCTTTCTTTCTCTTTTTTCTTTCTTTCTGTCTCTCTCCCTTTCTCTTTTCCTTTCTCCTTTCTTTCTCTCTCCCTTTCTTTCTTTTTTCTTTCTTTCTCCCTTTCTTTCTCTTTTCTCTCTCTCTCTCTCTTTCTCTTTTTTCTTTCTTTCTGTCTCTCTCTCCCTTTCTTTTTCCTTTTTCTCTTTCCCCCTTTCTTTCTCTCTCCCTTTCTTTTTTCTTTGTCTCTCTCTTTCTCTTTTATTCTTTCTCTCTCCCCCCCTTTTTTCTTTCTTTCTCCCTTTCTCTTTTTTCTCTTTTTTTTCTTTCTCTCTTTCACTCCTTCTTTCTGTCTCTCTCCCGTTCTCTTTTTTCTCTTTCTTTTTTCGTTCTCATTCTCCCTTTCTCTTTTCTCTCTCTCTCCCTTTTTGTTTTTCTTTCTTTCTGTCTCTCTCTCCCTTTCTCTTTTCTTTCTCCCTCTCTCCTCTTTTCTTTCTCTCCCCTTCTCTCTCTTTCTTTCTCTCCCTCTCCCTTTCTCTTTTTTCTCTTTCTTTTTTTTCTTTCTCTTTCTCTCCCTTTCTCTCTTTTTTCTTTCTTTCTCTCTCTCCCTTTCTCTTTTTTCTTTCTTTGTCTCTCTCCCTTTCTCTTTTTTCTTTCTCTCTCTCTCTCCCCCCCCCCCCCCCCCCCCCGCCCAGCCCACCTCACAGGATTGTTGTTGTGGGGAAAACAGGAGGAGGAAAAGAAGAATTAGGGATGTCTTCCCCCCCCCTCTTTGAATTACTTTACAAAGTTAATAAAGTCGGGATAAACATCGAATAAAGAAGAATAAATCTCAGGGGGAAACGTGGAAACTCCTAAAGGGGGGGGGGGAGAACAACACGCATCTTTCGCCCTGTCATCTTTGGACCTCCCTGAAGTCGCGATCGGGGAAGGGGGGAGAATTACAAAGACACCCCCCACCCACCACCCACCCAAGACCTTGAGTCGGGGATGATGGGAGATGTAGTCCAAGATGGGAGATGTAGTCGGAGAACCGTTACTGCAAAGAGCGAACCAGCCTGGGGAGAAGGTCCGACTCCGGAACAAGCAGCCGTTGCACCCAGGATGAGTTCGATCCGGTTCCTCTGGGTCCCCCCACCCACCACCCCACTAGCCTTCGATCCGGATTCGAACCCAGGGCAGGAAAAGTTGCATCGGGGAAGGGGTTAAATTGGGAAGGGGGGGCTCTACCTTGCAAACGGGGGGCTCTGTTCTTCCCCGCCTTGCCGCCGCCGGAGGGAAGAGCCGCCCGCTGGAAAACGAAACCGGAGCGAAAGCGAAGCGAAGCGACCTCCGGGGACGCGGAGGAAGAACTACAGGAGTCGGGAGGGGAAAAAACGGCCGCGCCTCTGAGCGTACGCAGAGCGCCGCCGCGGGGACCCCCCACCCACCCCTCCACCCGCCGTGGCAATAGACGCGCGCTTGCAAAAACGCCGTTGCGGGGATCGGAGCGGTAGTCCTGGAGGCGACGCGTGTCAAAAGGGGAACCACCCTTGCCGCACGTGCCCCCTCCTCCTTCTTCTTCTCCTCCTCCTTCTCCCTCTCCTCCTGTGCTCCACACCCTTACGTTGGAGAGGGGAGGTGAGGAGGTCCCCTCCCCTTTTCCCTCCCTTCCCCTCCCCGCTCCGGCCTTGCCTTGCACCCTTACACTTTCGCTTTAGCTAAAGCGCCGGTCGGCTTTCGCTCATTTCCCCTTCCGCGGCCCAGCTCTGCACCCCGGACACCATGGCCAAATCCTGCACCGCCAACATCCGTGTCGCCAAAGAGACGCGCGTGAAGGTGAGGAGGGGGGGGGAAGAACGTGTGAATGGGGGAACGGGGACGGAGTCGCAATGGGAGGGTTGCAAGGCAAGTTTGCAAAAATAAATCAATAAATGGGGGAGGAGGGTCCAGCCCCAGCCACGGACCTCTGGTTACCGGCCTCTGAGCACGTGCAGAGCGCGCCCCTTTCCAAGTTGCTAGTCCCGTGGGAAGGTCGGGGTGCGGGATCGAATCGCGGTTGCGAGAAGCCCTCTGCGGGCTGTCAGCTGGAGGCCTGGAAAGATCCACAGGAAAAGGAGAAAAAAAGATAACATTTTGTTTGTTTGTTTGTTTGTTTGCATTGTAACAAAACATTGCGACTTTTTTGGGGTTTTTTTATTTTATTTTATTTTAAAAGAGGGGATCGGTGTCGTTAATTCACGTGTGAACGGGGTGTGGGGTTTCTGGGACCCAACTTTTAAAAGAGTTGGGGGAAAGGACGAGGAATAGAAACTAATTGGGGAACTTTAAACCAGTTTTTTCCCCCACAGTCTTGGCTAGTTTAAGATTGTGGACTTCAACTCCCAGAATTCCTCAGCCAGCTTTGCTGGCTGAGGAATTCTGGGAGTTGAAGTCCACAAGTCATAAAAGGGCCAAGTTGGAAGACCCCTGTTGTAACCCCTTCAGTACTTCCTGTCAGTACTCCTTCCTGATGTTCGCCTGGGGAATTCTGGGAGTTGAAGTCCACAGATCTTAAAACAGGCCAAAGTTGAGAAACGGTGCCTTAAATACTGAATATTACTTGCCTGGAAATTAAGAATAATTTGAATAAAAGGCAGAAGCCCAAGTTTAGTCAAATTTCTTAGCTGGAAAAAGCCCTGCCAAATTCTTGTTTTCTAGCCACGATTGATTAGCTAGCTACGCCCTGACTTTGTTCTTTGAGAATCAATCACTGGGGCGTTTCTGAAGCAATCCAGAATTGCAGTGTCAGTCTGACATATCACTCTGCTTGTAAAATCTCTTTTTTTTTTTTCCCTGCCTAGTCACGCAAACCAATTTCCAGAATACTATAGTATATTTTCTGCTGCAAACTGTTAACCCTGTTTGCAAGAACCGGCTTTGGAAACGAAGGGAAATTTTATCCCATCCTTTTGGGATCAAACAATATTTCCAGACTGTTTAAAAGCGTTTCAGTTGTTATTCTCTCGATCAAAATTATATTTTCCGGAAAGGGATTTATTGCTCGCGTTAAACTTCCAAGGGAAATTTTGCTGTTCAATGCAAGCAATGCTGTGTTTGCATTTTTGGGGGGGTTAAAAAGGGAAGGCCGGAAGTCAATTTTTCTAATTCTATTTGGGATTTTCTTTTAAAAAAAAAACAAAATCCCTCCAGTAGAGGGGATTTTAAAAATTCCCAGTACGAGGAGAAGACTATCCACTTCTGCTAATTACGTAGAACAAACAAGGAGATCCCAAAAACCAAACGGCACCCTTTTCAACCATGTCCCCGACTTGTGACGACAGTTGAGCATTTATGTTGCTAAGCGAAACATTTGTTAAGTGAGTTTTGCCCCATTTCTTGCCACTGTTGTTAAATGAATCACTGCATTTAGTTAGTTAACACGGTTGTTAATTGAATCTGGCTTCGCCTATTGACTTAGCTTGTCACAAGGTCACAAAAGCGGATCACACGATCCCGGGGATCCTGCGACCGTCATAAATATGAAACAGTGGCCAAAAGCTTCTGACTTTTGATCGTGTAAACCCCGGGGATGCTGCGACTGCCATCGGTTGGTTTGCATTACGGACACGAGAGGCAATGTGGTATCCCTCAAATATCCTTTAGGGAATCTTGCGCTGAGCAGGGGGTTGGCCTAGATGACCTCAGAGATCCCTTCCAAGTATGAGTTTCGCCTAGTCCCCAAATGTTCTTGGTGGGGCTATGGATCAGCAGGATTCCAATACAGCTCTAAACCTAAAGTTTAAATTTAAAACAAGTTTGATTGCTTTGTTCTATAGCTCGGGTTTATCGTGTGTTTCCAGTTTCAATTTCATTGGTTTTTTGTTTTTTTTTTCCCCTGCAAAACTCTCTTTGCATTTGGGGAATTAGTGAGAATTTTCAGCATGGAAAGTAAAGACCTTGTGTGCTCTTTCTGGGCTGCTCCAACGTTGGTTACAATTTGTCTCATAATTTCCTTTTATTGCTTTAGATGGCTCTCTTTAGAGAATCGCTTTTGAAAGAGGTAAGTCTCCATTCCATGTTACTTGTTCGCCAATTATTGGATATTTTCCCCTTTCCCAGATAACTAACCTTCCTTCCTTCCTTCCCTCCCTCTTCCCTCCCTCCTTCTTTCCTTCTCTCTCTCTTTCTCTCTCTCTTTCTTTCTCTTTTCCTGCAGGGTGAAGAATTTCTTTGCACATTTTTACCTGCAAAGATATTTCAGTTGGATAAGTTTCTTAAGGTAAGTGAACGTCTAAAAACAAAGTTTCACGGGCAGAAGATCTCTGCGTGCTTTTTTTTTTAAGTGTCGCTCCTTCTCCGCCCATCTAGGAAAATTCACTGAACCTTCAAGATTTGACCACTCTGAAAGCTCCTTTGGATATCCCTATTCCAGACCCCCCACCCAAAGAAGACGAGGTGAGTTATTGGGGTAACTGTCTCCTTCCCCCCCCCACATTCAGTGCAACTTGTAAGGGGGTGGAAAATGATATTTATGGATCAATATATTTTTATTCCTTGCAGATGGATACAGAAAAGGAGGAAAAGGAAGGTAAGGAAGAGAGAGAGGGAGGGGGGAGGGAGGGAAGGAAGGAGGGAGAGAGGGAAAGAAGGAAGGAGGGAAAGGGAGGGAAGGATGGAGGGAGGAAGAGAAGGAAGGGAGAAAGGGAGGGAAGGAAGGGAGAGGGAGGGAGGGAGGAAGGAGGGAAGGAAGGGAGAGAGGGAAGGAAGGAAGGAGGGAGGGAGGAAGAGAAGGAAGGAAGAAAGGGAGGGANGTCTTTTAATTTCTTGGCTGCAGTCCCCATCTGCAGTGAACTTGAAGCCCAGGAAGATATTTCTCCTAGCTGTGAGAACTTTTCCTGTGGCCCACCAACCGTTTCCTTCCTGTGCAGGAGAAAGTGCTGGAACGTATCACGGCCCTGAAGACCAAAGCTGAAGCCTTCCAAACCACCATCGCTAAGTAAGTCGTCGAGAAGGGCCGTCAGGGAAAGGAGGCAAAGCAGAGAGCCACCACGTGGGATCTGGGTTCCAGAGCGTTGTGCATTGTGCATTTCCTCTCCCTCTCTGAACCCTGGGAAGGACCCAAGGACAAACTGCTTCCAAAAATCTTGTGAAGAAAACTGAAAAGAGATTTGCAACACGTACAAAATAAATAAATAAATTTTCTAGTCCTGATGCTGTGGATCCAATATACTGTCTTGTTCTTTTAGATACTTTTTGGAGCGTGGCGATGCGGTGGCCAAGGCCTCCAAAGAAACTCATGTGGTAAGTGATGGAGAAAAAAGGTTTGCAATTATTTGTAACGTGGCTGGATGGCCGGTCTGATAGGAAAGTTTTTTTGGGGGGGTGGGGGCTCCTTGTTTCTCTTCCCCCTGACTCAAGGCAAGGAGAAGACCTTCCTGGAAGCCAAAATAGCTGGTGTTGACCACGAGAAGGCCAAAAAACACCCAAAACACAATTGCAGATGGAGTCCAGACCTTGACTAACTCATTGCAAGGTTTAACACAATAGTTCTTGGAGATGGGAAAGCCTCTGCAATAATTATTCCCATTAATAAAGTTCTTGCCTCATACAGATTTGGAACTGAGTCAGGCAGTGTACAAATTTAAATAAGAGCACCCCCACCAAGAATTAACGCCAACGACATCTCTTGAAACTGTGCTCCTTGCTTAACTGGTTCCACCGTGGTATTTTAAATAAATCACAATCTCTCGACTCGGAGAAGAGTTTAAACTGTAAACCTGGATTTCTGTACCAGTGGCTGGATTCACATGATGCGCCGAGTAAAGCCAGGCAAACTAAGTTGTGTCTAAAACTGTCCTGGAAACCTAACCTGGTTGTAATTTGTAGGGTCCTTGGTGCTCTCTGAGCTTGGTGGTTTTCTTGCAGATGTTTCGTGACCCAGCTAGGGAACACCATCAGTGCTAGAAGGGGGTGTGGGAGGAGGAGGAGGACTGTGGGGCCCGTTGGTGCTCTCTGAGCTTGGTTGTTTTCTTGCAGATGTTTCATTGCAGATAGGACCCCAATTTTCTTCTCTACTCTACTCTACTCTACTCTACTCTACTCTACTCAACGAGGTAACTTCATCAGGGCTATCTAGTTGTAATTTCCTTCTTTGTTCCTGCAGATGGATTACCGGTGTTTGGTTCACGAACGTGACGAAGCCATTTACCGAGAAATGCAGATCATGGTGCTTGATATCCGTGGATTTTATGTAAGCGAGCTGAACCAATCGTGGTGAATGTCTACTAGGGGAAGATCCAGAGGGCAGGAATAAAGGAACGGGGGCAGATTTCTTTCGGTGTTTAATCCTTTCTCGTTTCTCTTCACCACAGGCTGAGCTGTACCACATCCTAAGCAAAAACCTGGAGAAAGTGACCAATCCCAAGGGCGAAGAGAAGCCGTCCATGTACTGACAGGAAAAGAGCATTTAAGGGCAAACAGGCAAGGGATGATTTGCGGGTGATGTGGTATCCTTGTGCAAATAACACAATTGGCCAGAATCCATGACCGCCTGTCTTTTTGGAGGGCGCTGGGCCAACAAAAATACAGGGTTAGAAAGAGACCTGAGATATTTAGAACCCAGGAGGAGAGAGATGGCTGGGAAAGAAGCCAATAGTGTAACAAAATAAAATGTTTGAATCAATTTGGTTGTGTCTTCTTACGATAAAGCCATCAAATGCACCTTGCCAAACCAGGAGAAAATCTTTTTTTCTCAGCTAGAATTTCTACCATTTTTCCAAATAGCTTTCACGGTAAGAATATGTAACCTTCGTACTTAAGGATACTTAATACTGCCCCTAGAAGATGGTTCTAATCACATTCATAGAGGTTATCTCTGCCTGTGTTCAGTGTAAAAATCAGTAGAAAGAAAGCTGAAATTCAAGCCTGAAACAAGATCACTTTAAAATCTGAATTAGCATGTCTGATAAACATGCTGTTTTAAATAAATAGCTAGATGATCTAGTTAATTTTCCCTTACTAGAGCCGACCTTTTTTTTTTGCCTTGATCTTTCCTGATGAATATTAAAATATAAATATCTATGTATTTTCTTACCCACTAAAAAGTAATAGCAACTGTCTGTGAGTAGTTCAGAATAGAAAAATAAGGAAGTAGTTTGTGGGTGTATTAATGTAGCAGCAGTTAGCTGTTGGGGGTCTATCAGGAGGTGAAAGTGCCCATTTCTTGAGAGAGTCATCTGGCTTTTCACTAGTCCAATTTCCAAATCTTAACAATGTCTTTAAATAAAACCTGAAATAGTCTTGACCAACAAAAGAAAAATGGGAATATAGGATATAAGGCTATAGAAATGGTCTTCAGTTTTTGTTCTTTAGAAAAGTGAAATAGTTATTAGAAATCATATAAAACCATCATTCTAAATCGGGTAGTCAACCTTGGCTATTTTATGACTCGTGGACTTCAACTCCCAGAATTCCTGAGCCAGCATGGGGGAACTATGGCTCCCTTCATGACTTGTGGACTTCAACTCCCAGAATTCCTGAGCCAGCATGGGGGAACTATGGCCCCTTCATGACGTGGGGACTTCAACTCCCAGAATTCCTGAGCCAGCATGGCTCAGCTTGGAAACCTCTCCCTTTCCCCTCAACCTGGCTGGCTCAGGAATTCTGGGAGTTGAAGTCCACGAGTCATAAAAGAGCCAAGGTTGACAACCCCTGTTCTAAATCAATGTTTCTCAAGCTGGGCAACTTTTAAGATGGAGGGACTGCAACTCCCAGAGTTCACCAGCCAGCCATGGTTGGCTGGGGAATTCTGGGAGTTGCAATCCCTCCATCTTAAAAGTTGCCCAGCTTGAGAAACATTTATTTAAATGAGATGGTTGATACTGCAAGGAAGCAAATGCTTCATTTTTACTTCATAGGTTAACTAGATTAAGCCATTTTCAAGCTTTGCACCATACACGAAATGCACTAGACATATATTAAATGTCTAAATAATTAAAAAGGGGGACTTAAACCCATTTTGTAGAAACTTCAAGGTTTGGACTTAAATGTAGCCTAAAGCTCAACAGGTGCAGCTTTTCTAGATATAACAATATGCTTTCAAAAGCTCCATTTGTTAACATTATATAACCCCAAACTGGCATTTCGGAAAACTCTGGGTTGACTACAAGTCCCATCATTTCAGACCTGCCAGTGGTTGATGGGTTTGGGGGGCATGTTGAAGGGCCGTTCAAACTCTATGATTTTAGGGGTTTTTTGGCCCACGGAAGCCACTCTGGTAGACTACTCTATGGTTCCAGGACGGCGAAGAGACGATTGAAAGGAAGTGGGAACATCAGTACAGATAGTACTTCCGGTAAACACAGTCCTTCTAGACATTTTACCTCTATGGTCGATCCTCTTTCTGTATGGGAAATTCCGAGTGAGATAATCATAGATTTTCCATAAAGACATAGAGCGGATGTTTTCCTGTCTGTCTTTGGAGAGGGGGAGGTCAAGTCAAGACCGGAAATGAAGATGTTGTGGCGCCTCGCGTTGTCACATGGTATAGCAAAAAAAACGTTAAGCGCGTCGGTTGAAAAAAAAACCAACCAACTTCCGACCAATCAGAGTGCGGGCTTGAGTGCGCCCAATGAGCGAAGAGAAAGAGAAAAAAAAATGGGTAGCCGCGAAAGCTGTGCTCGGATTGGATCGTTGCTGACCAATCCGTAGGCGCCCAGTGAAACATTCTACAGAAGGCGGAGCTTGTGGCGGCAGTCGGAACCTGCGCAGGGACGGCGAGGAGGAGGGGGGGGTAAGTGTGCGTGGGACTACCGCACCCATCATCCTCGGGTGGGCTGTGAGTGATGGGCATTGTAGTCTGTGAAGATCCGGGGTGGGGGGGGGTAGAGTTCAGTGGATTGTTGAGGCTCACATTGGAAGTTATCCAACCCTGATTATCATATATTATCATATAATATTATTACATTATATTGTATTAATTAGTGTGTATTGTATTTGTATTGTATTTATTATATATTATCATTACATAATACTCTACAGGTAGTCCTCGACTTACGACTGCAACTGAGCCCAAGATTTATGTTGTTAAGCAGGGGTCTTCAAACTTGGCCCTTTGATGACTTGTGGACTTCAACTCCCAGAATTCTTCAGCCAGCGTGCCTGGCTGAGGAATTCTGGGAGTTGAAGTCCACAAGCAGGGGTCTTCCAATTTGGCCCTTTGATGACTTGAGGATTTCAACTCCCAGAATTCCTGAATCAGGCACGCTGGCTGAGGAATTCTGGGAGTTGAAGTCCACAAGTCATCAAAGGGCCAAGTTGGAAGACCCTTGTTGTTAAGCTAGACATTTGTTAAGTGAGTTTTGCCCTGTTTTACCACTCAGTTGTTAAGGGACTCACTCCAGTTGTTAAGCAAGTCACACGGTTGTTAAGTGAATCTAGTTTCCCCCGTTGACTTTGCTTGTCGGAAGGATGCCAAAGGGGATCAGATGATCCCGGGACAGTGTAACCATCATAAATATGAGTCAGTTGCCAAGCGTGTGAATTTTGATCCTGTGGCCTGCAGTGGTCGTAAGAGCGAAAAGCAGTCCTAGGTCATTTTTTTCAGTGCCGTTGTAACTTTGAACAGTCACTGAACAAACAGTTGTAAGTCGAGAACTAACTTGTATGTAAGGGTGTAGGTCTATACATATGTTGTATATAGTATATTTTAAATGTGTGTTATGTATGTGTACACTTTTGAGAGGAAGCAACTCAATTTCATTTTTAACGTGTGCCGTTGTGCCCACAGGAAAAAAATGACAATAAATGTTATTTAAATCTAAATCTAAGCTGTACTATACTAATACTTTACTACACTACACTACTCTACACTACACTAATCATATATTATGTTCATTGCATAGTCATCTAGATATTTAGACTGGATTTGGCATTTTTGTTATATATTGTATTACGTTTTAATTTTATATCACTGGATATTGTCCTTACCATCCTAAGTTTCCCCATTCGGACATCCTTTGGAACAGGAGGAAGAGAGGAACCTCTGAGGAACTCAGGTGAGGCGGTCCCAACTACAACTCCTATCATTCCCAGCCATAGGGGCATTGAATGGGGGAGACTTTGGAGGCCCAGGGGTTGGGGGTGTTAGGATAACCTTCTGAAGCAGCATCACAGCAAGGCTTCTGTGCTCGGCAGGATGGGTGAAGTGGAGATCTCACCTCGGGCGTACGTCAAGATGTGCCTCCATGCGGCTCGGTATCCCCACGTGGGGGTGAACGGACTCCTCCTGGCTCACAAGCGCCGGCCCACAGCTGGGCCCCCAGAATGCCTCTACATCACGGACTGTGTCCCCCTTTTCCACAGCAACCTGTCGCTCACTGTGATGCTGGAGGTGGCCCTCAACCAGGTGTGTCATTTCAACATGAATAGAAAATGGAATGGAATGGAATAGAATAAAATGGAACAGAATAGAACAGAACAGAATAGAAAATACAGAATGGAATGGAATAGAATAATAGAATAGAATGGAATAGAATAGAATAGAATAAAATAAAATGGAACAGAATGGAACGGAACAGAACAGAATAGAAAATACGGAATGGAATGGAATAGAATAGAATAGAAAATACGGAATGGGATAGATTAGAATAATAGAATGGAATGGAATAGAATAGAATAAAATGGAATAGAATAGAATAGTGACTTTTGACTGTTTTTCACACTTAACGACCACGGTCATGCGAACAAAATTTAGATGCTTGGCAAGTGCTGGTCTGTCAGGGCCCCCTTCAAAACCTCATCCTAAGAAAACAGAACTTGTGGAAGCCGTTTCTTCCAAAAGGAACTTTTATTAGGAGAAGCTGATGGCAGGCATAATAGGCAGGATCTGAGGGTGTCCCGCTCAGATCAATAGGTTAAAAGAGTCCCAAGCAAACCCCCCCCCCCCCATAGTTCATCCGGTCAGTTCAAACGGGCCAATCCCAGGGTGTTAAGTCCGTTGTGGGCTCTTCACACTGGAGATAAACCAGTTGCCAGAGGCACAATCCTTTCTCTTCCCCCCCCCCTTTTACTAGCTGACATCAAGGGGAGAGATAGTTCACAGAGGAAGTATGCAGAAACAGCGAAGTGTTACAATGCAGCGACAGAAGAAAATAAAGCAATAGCCCGCAGTGTCTTCCCCTCTCCCCTCCAGGAGCAGGGTGGAACTCAGAAGTATAGAGAGAACAGAGTTTGATTTTAAAGCAAGAAAGGGTCCCCCTCAGAATATGGGTTCTGACATCCTGCCTCCCTTAAAAAAAAGAGAGATGTGGAAACATAGAGAGAAATGTATGCATAGGATCCACCTGTGGAGACATAGAAATATATGCATAGGTTAATCAGGCTTGTTTGGGTATTCGGCGCGGAACTTTCTTAGCAATTTAGGAGCGTTAATATGGCCTTTGTGGACCCACTCGTTTTGGGAGGATGGGAGGTGTTTCCATGCCACTAGATATTGAGTGGAGCCAGGGTATTTCCCAGAGTCCAGAATTTCTTTGATTTCAAAATGTTGTTCCCCTTCAACCATAACGGGAGGAGGGGCATCTCCCCCTGCTATGGACCCATCTAATTGACCGAATGAAACCGGTTTGTTCAGACTCCTCACCGGTATTCCTAAATTCCCCACTAGGGTAGGCAGCGGGTGCACCCGGAGTCAATTAATGCCCTAACGTCTACAGCTTCGGGCAGAATTGGGGCTAGTAAAGTCACTGTCCTGGTGAGGGGCGCAATGGGTCCACTTACCAGGGGTTCATCCTCGGAGTTGTCATCGGATGAGTTGGACACTCGCGCTGTGTAGGCTCCTCGCTGGGCTGAGGCGGGGAACTCAACGGTATCCGTGTCTTTCATGGCCATCTCCTTCGGCTTTGCTGACGGCTTTCTGGACTTCCTAGCCAGGGTCCGGTCTGGTTTTCTAGTCGGAGTGCGGGAACGGCACACGGCGGCGCGGTGCCCTTCCTTGCCACATTTGAAGCACCCGATGGTTCTTTTGGAGGTTGACGGCTCCTTTGCTGGCTCGCGGGCCGACTCCGGCGGCGATTTCCCCCACGGTCTTCCCCCTCTGCGTTGCCTCTTGGCTAGGTCGATCTCGGCTTCCTCGGCTAGGACGTACCAGTCTTGCAGCCGGTGAGGATCCCCCCGAGGGAGGCAAGCGTCGTAGAGGTCGTAGTTTAGACCATCCTTGAAGTAGCTAAGCAAGATGTCCTCTGGCCAATTTAGTTTGCTGGCCAGGGTCCGGAACTCTTGGGTGTATTCGGCCACCCGTCGCCTGCCTTGCTTCACCGTCTTTATCCGCTCTCGGGCCTTCCGCTCTGCCAACGGGTCCTCGAACCGGCGCCTCAGGGAGAGCATGAATTGGTTGAAATTCAGCAGCTCTGGAGCGTCAGCGTCGTACAGGCCCACAACCCAGTCGGCTGCGATGCCGTCCAGGGCGGCTTGCACGATGCGGATTCTGGCGCGGTCGGTGGGGATGTCTCGGCCGTACTCCTCCATGTAGTCTAGCACCTGGGTTAGGAAGAATCCCAGGCGCCGTGACTCTCCACGGAATTTCACATCTAGCGGAGGGAACGCCTGGATGGAGCCTGCCCCTGTCCTCCGTTGGTGTCGTCTCCCCCCTCTCGCTGCGGCTTCCACGCGACGCGGGGCGGCTGCAGCGGTGGCGACGGCGGCGGGCTCGCTGGTTCCTTCGGCTGGGTCCGAAATCTCGGGTTTAGGCTCCCCTCCGTTTCCCAGGCGGAAGGTGCCCCGGTAGGGTTCAGCTTTCTCCTCCTTCATGGAGTCGAGGGCTATCTTCATCATGCCCATTGCCTGTTCCAACAGCCGGGTGGAATGCTCCGGGCGATCGTCCTCGCTGAGATGGAGGGACCTTTCCATCTCCTCCTTCCAGCCTGGTTGATGACTGAGTGTCACCTTCCTGGCTTTCTTCTCCCAGTCGTCCTTCTTCCCAACGCCCATGGACCACCGGGCCTTGGGGCCGCGCTCTCTCACCTCCTCTTCTTCCGACGAACTGGAGGATCCGGATCTCGAGTATTTACAGGGGTCTGCCCTGCAGGAGGGTCTCCCCCCTGCAACAGGTTCCTCTCTCTCCGCTCCGTTGTTCCACATGGTTTGCTAAGTCCCCCCCGCTAAGGGTTTTGCTTCCAGGCTGACTATTCCTGCAGATCCTGTCTAATGGCAGGGCCCCCTTCAAAACCTCGTCCCAAGAAAGCAGAACCGTTTCTTCCGAAAGGAACTTTTATTAGGAGAAGCTGACGACGGCAGGCATAATAGGATCGGAGGGTTTCCCGCTCAGATCAATAGGTTAAAAGTGTCCCAAGCAAAAACCCCACCCCATAGTTTATCCGGGTCAGTTCCCATGGGCCAATCCCCAGGTGTTAAGCCTGTTGTGGGAAAGAGTAGATGATGCCGGGCTGTCTCAGGGTTGCAGCGATGTTTTGTCGGGCTCTTCACACCTTCCCTTCCGAGCGCCGGAGGCACATTCCTTTCTCTTCCCCCCCCCCTTTTACTACCTCAAGGGGGGAGATAGTATGCAGGAACAGCAAAGTGTTACTATGCAGCGATAAGAGGAAAATAAAGCAATAGCCCGCAGTGCTTTCCCCTCTCCCCTCCAGGAGCATGGCAGAACCCAGAAGTAGAGAGAGAACATAGTTTTGAGTTTAAAGCGAGAAGGGGTCCTTAGAATATGGCAAGGAAGGGCCGTAAAACGGGGCAAAATTCACTTAAACTCTTGTCTTCCTTAGCAACGGAAATGTTGGGCACCGTTGTGTATCCCATATCAAGGACTGCTTTTTATTGAGCAGCCAAAGTAAAGTCTGAATTCCTACATAGGGCGAAGAGAAGCTTTATTTTTTTAATTCAAGACACCTTGGCTTAACAGGATGGGTAAACCTGGCCAGTTATTTACAGGAACACAGCCTTAACAATCTCTCTTTTGCAGTTTGCAAACTGTCAGGACTGTGTTTGTTTGTTTGTTTTTTTAAACAATTTTATTATATGAATTTCATTAATCAATAAACACTTTATTAATTTTTCAAATGTTGTTAACATTTAAACTAACTTATATATTTACTATTCAGGTACCCCAAGTTTCTCTTATTTAAATCTATTCTTTTTCGATAATTCTCCAATTATTAATTCCATCTCATTCCCAAAAAAAAAAAAGAACAAAGAATAAAGGGAAAAGAAAAAAGAAAAAAAAGAGAGAAAAAAGAAGCGTATTCTTGCTACATTTCAGTATTAAATTCTAAATCATTTCATAATAGCCTCCCTTTTAACAAAATCCAAATCCAAAACAATCCGAGTCACTATAAAACCTTTACCATCCATAATTATCATCTCAAAATTTAATATTTATATCTTATTCTGGGACTGTGGTTTTTTTTTTAACCTCGGCCACTTTAAGACGGCGGGACTTCCAACTCCCAGAATTCCCCAGCCAGTTTTGCCCCGTTTTAACGATTTTTCTTGCCATCGTCGTGAAGAGAGTGCAGTTCTTAAGTGAGTCATGTCGTTGTTCTGGATTCCCCACTGACTTTGCTGGTCATAAGATTGCAAAAGGGGATCTCGCAGGATCCCGGGACACTGCAGCCGTCGTAAATATGGGCCAGTTGCCAAGCGTCTGAATTTTCACCGCGCGAGCACACGGGAATGCTGCAATGGCCGTATGTGTGGAAAACGGTCATAAGTCACTTGTTATCTGTGCCGTCGTAACTACAAACGGTCACTAAACGAATGTAAGTCGAGGAGTAAGTTAAACATAAGTCAGGACTCTTATGATACCACGTCAAGGACTACTTGTGTGGCTAGATTACCTTTGTAACTTTCTTAATAGATGATAGGAATGTGGTAGATGTAATATATTACAGGGGTCTTCCAACTTGGCCCTTTGATGACTTGTGGACTTCAACTCCCAGAATTCCTCAGCCAGGCAGTGCCTGGCTGAGGAATTCTGGGAGTTGAAGTCCACAAGTCATCAAAGGGCCAAGTTGGAAGACCCCTGTAATATAGCTTGACTTCAGCAAAGTGAAAACATAACCTGCCACAAGCTAAATTAATAAGTGAATTAAAGGTGGGCTGGATGACAGGACAATTAAATGGGAAACTGAAGTGCTGGCTGGGGAACTCTGGGAGTTGAAGTCCACCCCTCTTAAAGAAGGCTGGCTGGGGAATTCTGGGAGTTGAAGTCCACAAGTCATAAAAGGGCCAAGTTTGAAGACCTCTGTAATATATCTTGACTTCAAAGTGAAAACAACCTGCTACAAGCTAAATTAATAAATGAATTAAAGATGGGCTGGATGACAGGACAATTAAATGGGAAACTGAAGTGCTGGCTGGGGAATTCTCGGAGTGGAAGTCCACCCCTCTTAAAGCATGCTGTCTGAGGAATTCTGGGAGTGGAAGTCCACCCCTCTTAAAGCATGCTGGCTGGGGAATTCTGGGAGTTGAAGTCCACCCCTCTTAAAGCAGGCTGGCTGGGGAATTCTGGGAGTTGAAGTCCACAGGTCTTAAAGCATGGCTGGCTGGGGAATTCTGGGAGTTGAAGTCCACCCCTCTTAAAGTGGGCAAGGTTGAAAAAATGCTATCCTAACCCTCCTCCTAAATCTAACAGATTGCCAACCTGGGCATTCCTGCTTTTTTACAGGTGGATTCCTGGAGCTCCGAGTCCGATTTGTTCCTGGCTGGCTATTACCAGGCAAACTCTGGGATGGATGACAAAAGGTGAGTTTGAAGAGGGAGGAAGACGTTGGGCGAAGGGATAGATCTCTTTCCTGCCCAAAGAATCTCTGACTCCTTCCCTTCTTCCCCCACCCCCCCCCTGCAGCCCTACTACCCTGGCAGAAAAGATTGCAGCGCGCATTGCTGAACTCTGCGACGAGGCCGTGCTGATCATGGTGAGGATCTCCCTGGATTTGGAAGGTCTGGGTGGACCGATCTTAGGGATAGCGATAGAAGGCAATATTTGCCCGAATGAAGGCAAAGATACGTGTCCCAGGATAATGTGTATAATGTCCCAAGATGAGTCCTCCAGGCACCACAGAAATAGCACGCAAAGAACAGCCCAGTGCACACATTCTAGGGATAGAGAGTGGGAAGTGCCTTGAGGATGGGCTCCAGCATTAAGTCGGAAAGCTTGGAAGATTAAACCTCTGGTCCCCGTGACCGACTCAGATTGGATCCCGCAGAATATTTATAGCTCAGGGTTGAACTGTGGGGTCCCTGGGGCTCTCTGAGCTTGGTGGTTTTCTTGCAGACATTTCACGACCCAGCTAGGGAACATCGTCAGTGCTGGGAGGAGTCAGGTTTGCGAGGAAGGGGGAGGAGGAGGAGGAGGAGGAGGAGGAGGAGGAGGAGGAGGAGGAAAAAAAGGGGCTGTGGGGTCCTGGGTGCTCTCTGAGCTTGGTGGTTTTCTTGCAGACATTTCATGACTCAACTAGGTAACATCAGTGCTAGAAAGAGTCAGGTTTGCAAGGAGGAGGAAGAGGGAGGAGGANAGAAGAAGAAGAAGAAGAAGAAGAAGAAGAAGAAGAAGAAGAAGAAGAAGAAGAAGAAGAAGAAGAAGAAGAAGAAGAAGAAGAAGAAGAAGAAGAAGAAGAAGAAGAAGAAGAAGAAGAAGAAGAAGAAGAAGAAGAAGAAGAAGAAGAAGAAGAAGAAGAAGAAAATGGCTATGGGGTCCTTGGTGCTCTCTGAGTTTGGTGGTTTTCTTGCAGACATTTCATGACTCAACTAGGTAACATCATCAGTGCTAGAAAGAGTCAGGTTTTCAAGGAGGAGGAAGAGGGAGGAGGAGGAGGAGGAGGAGGAAGAAGAAAGGAAAAGGGCTGTGGGCTCCTTGGTGCTCTCTGAGCTTGGGTGGTTTTCTTGCAGACATTTCACGACCCAACTAGGGAACATCATCAGTGCTAGAAGTTTACTCAAACCTCCCTCCCTTCTAGCACCGATGACGTTCCCTAGTTGGGTCACGAAACGTCTGCAACAGAACCACCCAACTCAATGATCCCCAAGGACCCATCAGTCCAGCCTTGAGCGACAGACATCCTCTTCTCTGCTCACGCTGCCTCCTGCCACGGGATTGCTCCAGAGAAAAAGAGAGGCCCTGATTTGCTTTCTCCTACCTTTGATTCCTTCCCCAGTTGGATAACCGCAAGTTCACGATAAACCCTCGGCTTCCTCCCCTCACCGTCTTGGAGCAGAGAGATCACCAGTGGGTTCCTAAGGACAAGAACCTGTGAGTTGCAGCTACCGATGGCTTACTTGTACCCCTTGCCTACAAGTGATCTTGCAGTAGTATTCTCTCTCTCTCCCTCTCTCATTCACACACACACACACACACACAAACACACACGAGATCCTCAGGGTTTCCTTTAAGCCAGTGGTTCTTAACCCTTTTGAACAAATCGCCCCCTTGAGTCAATGAGGAAGTTGTCATCGTCCCCCTTCCCGAACATAACCTGTCAATCACAACATAGGAAATAATTCTTCAATTTATGCAAACACTTTTTTTTTATTTCTTTAAAATTGTCATCAGGACATATCGATGCAAATAATTTATTTCCAGTCTTTTTCCCATATCTCGACTGTGTGAAAAATTTTGGTGCCACCCGTCACTTTATTCCCAAACTTCGTGATATGTGTATTTCATTATTCTCTGATTTATTCAAGACACTTAAATGTAATGACCACTGAAAACAAAATTCAACTGCAAGAAAGTGAAATGCCCAAAAAGAAAAACAGTAACATTTAATGATTGAAATTACAAGTGAAATTTAAGACGCAAAAAGAAATATAAAAAGGGTAGAGGCTGCTGCGCAACGCGCATGAAGATAAGCGATGCGCATTCACATAGGTACGGCGTTCTGTACTGAAGCTAGCTGGAGGAACATTTGAAAACACAATTCAATCCACTCATAGCGAGCGATCTGATGTTTTTGTACGACAGATATGCAGCGATTCACTGTACGAAAAGTCTCAAAAGTGTCCCCAAAACTTCTCGCTCCATCGCCCCCATTTCGCCCCCTTTTTGTTCCTTCGCCGTGTCGCCCCTTTTTGTTCCATCGCCCCCCCTGAAAAATGAAGGGCGATATCGCCCAGGTTAAGAACCACTGCTTTAAGCAACGTTAAAACAGAGTGCAAACGAGGAGGAAGAAACAACAAGGGTAAAACTAGGCCCGAGATAAGAGGGAAATAAAAGGATCGCTAAAACTCGTTGATGCCAACGCCATTCGCGGGGTGGTGGTGGCGTGGAAAATAATGTCTTTTACTTCCATACCATTTCACACATTCCTCGACTTTACGGCCGCAGGGCGGCCCGCAATTTCTGTCGCTTGGCTGTCAAAAGTGGGTTTTGTCCCGTTTTATGACCTGCCTTCTCACGGGCGTTAAGCGAATCTGGCTTTCCCCCCCCCTCCCGCAGACTTCGCTTGCTCGGAAGGTCGCAAAAGGGGAATCACGTGACACACACACACACACACACACATACACAAACACACACACACACAAACCGCCCCCGGGACACTGCAACCGTCGTAAATAGGAGTCGGTTGCCCAAGGATACGAGTTTGGATCACGTGACCGTAGGGGAAATGCTGTAATAGTTGTGTGGAAAAAGAGTCATAAGTCATATTTTTTTTTGCAGTCACTAGGCAAATGCTTGTAAATTGAGGAGTGTCTGGATTAGTATTCCGTGCCCAAGGATTATCTAGTCCAGGGGTAGGCAACCTTGGCTCTTTTATGACTGGTGGACTTCAACTCCTAGAATTCCTGAGCCAGCCACGCTGAGGAGAAATGGAGAGGTTTCCATGCTGAGCCATGCTGGCTGAGGAATTCTGGGAGTTGAAGTCCACGAGTCATAAAAGAGCCAAGGTGGCCTACCCCTAATCTAGGGGTATTGTGCTTTATCCAGCCCTATAGATTCACTTCTCATCCTAGGGCAGGGGTAAACAACCTTGGCTCTTTTATGATTGGTGGACTTCAACTCCCAGAATTCCTGAGCCAGCATGGCTCAACATGGAAACCTCTCCATTTCTCCTCAGCATGGCTGGCTCAGGAATTCTGGGAGTTGAAGTCCACGAGTCATAAAAGAGCCAAGGTTGAGTACCCCTGTCTTAGGGGTTCATGTCTCCCCAGTTTATAAGCCCTCAGGGGCTCTATAGGCTTCCAATGATTGTGTATTATGAACCAAGCCCTTAAAATGGCTGAAAACATCCTTTGCAGGCAAGTCCCATGTCAGCTCAGCCAACTCTGGTTTAGAATAGGATAGACTGACAAGAGTTGGAAGGGACCTTGGAGGTCTTCTAGTCCAACCCCCTGCTCAGGCAGGAAACCCTATACCAGGGGTCTTCAAACTTGGCCCTTTTAGGACTTGTGGACTTCCAACTCCCAGAATTCCTCAGCCAGCGTGCCTGGCTAAGGAATTCTGGGAGTTGAAGTCCACAAGCAGGGGACTTCAAACTTGGCCCTTTTAGGACTGGTGGACTTCAACTCCCAGAATTCCTCAGCCAACGTGCCTGCCTCAGGAATTCTGGGAGTCAAAGTCCACAATTCATGAAAGGGCCAAATTTGAAGACCCCGTGTCCTATACCTTTTCAGACAAATGGCTCTCCAAGCTCTTCTTAAAAACTTCCAGTGTTGGAGCATTCACAACTTCTGGTGGCAAGTCGTTCCACTGGTTAATTGTTCTGTCAGGAAATTTCTCCTCAGTTCCGGGTTGCTTCTCTCCTTGATTAGTTTCCATCCGTTTGTTCTTGTCCTGCTTTCAGGTGCTTTGGAGAAGAGGTGGATCCCCCCTTTTTTATGGCAGCCCCTCAAATATTGGACGACTGATATCATATCACCCCTGGCCCTTCCCTTCATTAAACTAGACATCCCCAATTCCAGCAATCGTTCTTTGCTTCGTAAGAGAGTTAAAAGTCAGTTATGTCTTAACCAAGAGGCAATCTAGCAGGAGGAGGGAATTATCCCTGCCCCACCAGTTAAAATTCAAGTCCCCTTTTATAGAAATCCAGAAGAACAGAGTTGGAAGGGACCCTGGAGGTCCTCTAGCCTGACCCCCCTGCTCAAGTAGGAAATCCTATCCCCATTCAGCACCAATTGCTCTTCGATCTCTTCTTGATGGATCTTTTGATGTTTTCAGGGTCATGTGGACCGACTGGGAAGCCTCTCGCCACATTTGCAAGTCCCTCCTGGAGGCCAAAGTGTACTCCCGATTGGTTGACTTCGACAGCCACTTGGATGACATCAGACAAGACTGGACCAATCAGCAGCTGAACACGGAAATCGCCCAGTTGGTATCGGTAGCCAATGGCAGTGCTTGAAGGAGGAGCCGGGCTAATTTGTAAGGATCTTTAAACCTGGTTCCCTCCAGCTTCCTTAAGAGCATCCGGGATGTCGGATTAGCCCAGATAGAAGCCAGGATCACGTGATTGAGGCCCCGCCTCTTATTAACGGCAAGGCTGCCATCTTGACTGTCTTATCTCCTCCCGCCCCAACAAGGAGACGCCTCTCTTGAAGAAGAAAAAGGATGAATTTGCTTCGAAATTTCTGTTGTTTTTAATTTATTCCATCTTTGCAAAAGCAATTTGCCCCAACCAAATTCTTGTTTTTTTAAAAAAGGAGGGATTTAACCCCTTCCCCGTTTTATCCAGGTAGTCCTCGAACTGACGACCACAGCTGAGCCCAAAATTTCTGTCAGTAAGCGAGACGTTGGCTAAAATTGAGTTTTGCCCCATTTTAAGACCTTTCTTGACTCACTGTTATTTGATAAGTTAGTAACCTGGTTGTTAAGTGAGGTCGCAAAAGAGGATTCCATGACCCTGGGACGCGGCGACCGTCGTAAATATGAACCCTCTGGATTTCGAGCGCGTGAACGCGGGGAGGCTGCAACGGTCGTTAAGTCTGAAAAAAAGTCGTAAGTCCCTTTTTTTCAGCAAGGTTGTTAACTCTGAGCGGTCGCTAAAAGAAATGTTGTAAATCAAGGACTACCTGGAATTTCAGAAGATTTTATATGTATAAAACCCATCGGATTCCAGAGAGAGAAGCCCAACCGCAATTCTTCGCTTAGGACCCAAATTAAATGTTTCCTCTCACCAGGTTTTAAAGATCTGTTTATTGAAAGAGGATCAAGTTGATCAGGGAAGGAAAAAAGGGTCCAGGAGATGACCTGATCGCTGGCTAAACTTTTTAGTAGATCATCCCTTTGTTTTCATCCCGGGGCTTCTTAATCTTGTCAAAATTCTTCAGGATGCTGTCGTAGGTCACAGCCTAGGAAGAGAGAGGAGAGGAGAGATCACAGGGGTCCTCGCCAGAAAGATAATATAGAATTAGAATAGAGAATAGAACAGAACAGAGAATAGAACAGAATAGAATAGAATATTAATAGAATAGAACAGAACAGAATAATATTAGAATAGAATAGAATAGAATAGAATAGAATAGAATAGAATAGAATAGAATAGAATAATATTAGAATAGAATTACAATTACAATAGAAGAACTATAGAAAATATGGAATGGAATAGAATAAAATTAGAATAGAGAACGGAAAGAATGGAAAGGAATAGAAAATATGGAATAGAATAGAATAAAATTAGAATAGAGAACAGAACAGAAAATACGGAACGGAATGGAACGTGGCAATTTAAAAAGGTGTGGTGGACTTCAAATCTTGAGGTTATTTTTCTCCTATATCCACCATAACAGTATAACGGAGTTGGGAGGGACCTTGGAGGTCTTCTAGTCCTGCCCCCTGCCCAAGCAGGAGAACCTGTACCAGAAGTAGGCAACCTTGGCTCTTTTTATGACTCGTGGACTTCAACTCCCAGAATTCCTGAGCCAGCATGGCTCAGCTTGGAAACCTCTCCCTTTCCCCTCAGCAGTTGGGAGTTGAAGTCCACAAGTCATCAAAGGGCCAAGTTGGAAGACCCCCGGTCTTAAGTGTGAAAAACGGTCGTTAAGTCACTTTTTTCAGCGCCGTTGTGACTTTGAACGGTCACTAAACAAACCGTTGTAAGTCGGGGACTAGAGTCATTAATTAATCTATTATATAAATAAAAATGTAACTGTTCGTTTGTTCAAAATCTTAAATCTCCGAAAGTTCTTCACCGATTGCTTTGAAATTTTGACACAACGTTGCATTCGAATATGCGCGTTTTTATATACCTACTATTATATAGATGTCACACCTGTGACAGGTAAAAACATGCTTTTTTTTGAAAAACAGCGCCATCTGTTGGACGTAAAAGCAACACACGCTACCATTTAACCAGAGTGAGCCACAGCAACGAGTGGCCGGGTTCAGCTAGTAAGAAATAAATTAATTCATAAAAAAAAAACAAATTAAAAAAAAAAGCAAAGGGCTGTCTTGATGGATCACCGGGTCTTTTTCGGCCGTTCGGTTTTCTCTCTTTCTAAATTTCCCCGAAGTTTCTCAGCCGATGGATCAAAGGGAGGGTTAAGAGAGGAACGCTTATCTCTCTGTGGCATCCTTGGATGGGACGGGGCTCCCGGTTGGCCAATTTTGGAGAGATTTGTGTGAAAGGTGGCAGTTTTTTGATTTTTTTTTTTTTAATTTGTGGAAACTCCTGTACAGAATTCTGCAGCTCTCGGTGGGGGGGGGGTGTTTGAGGTCATCGTTCAGTGTTTTTTTTGGGGGGGGGGAAATAAAAATGTTGGGTGAAACAGCCTCAGCATTGACCTCCCCACAAGGACTCACGTAAATGTTTCTCAATTCGTTGACCATGAATCGGATTTCGGCATACTCCGCTTCGTCGATCTCGTGGACCAGCTGGCGGTAGTCGCCCTGTAAGTGACGGAGAGAAGGAACAAACAAACGTTTGAGCAATGACACCGTTTCGAGTTCGATCCCGACACGCAAAGATTTAACGGAAAGGGAGGGAGACGTACCACGTGGGGAGTCTTAGCAGCTTTGGCAACGGCGTCGCCCCGTTCAGAATAATACCTTGAGAAACGGACGAGAAAAGAGAATTTAAACCTCAGGGAATTAAAGGCACATTTTCACCGTGAGAGAAAGCGGGGTGAAGTCGCTGGCGTCTTGAGTTCTAGTCCTCCCACAACATAAAAGGGGGACTCTGGGCTGGTCCCTTCCTGTCAACCCAGCCTACCTTGCAGGGCTGTTGTGGGGAACAGGCTAGAAACCAGGAGTCGGTAAGTTCTAGTCTGGCCTCAGGCATGAAAGCCAGCTGGGTGACTTTGGGCCAATCAACGGGAGACGGTGAGTTCTAGTCCCGCCTTAGCCATGAAAGCCAGCTGGGTGACTTTGGGCCCATCATCAGGAGACAGTGAGTTCTAGTCCCGCCTTAGCCATGAAAGCCAGCTGGGTGACTTTGGGCCCATCACCAGGAGACGGTGAGTTCTAGTCCCGCCTTAGCCATGAAAGCCAGCTGGGTGGCTTTGGGCCCATCACCAGGAGACGGTGAGTTCTAGTCCCGCCTTAGCCATGAAAGCCAGCTGGGTGGCTTTGGGTCAATGACCAGGAGACGGCGAGTTCTAGTCCTGTCTTAGCCATGAAAGCCAGCTGGGTGACTTTGGGCCAATCACCAGGAGACAGTGAGTTCTAGTCCTGTCTTAGCCATAAAAGCCAGCTGGGTGACTTTGGGCCAATCACCAGAAGTCAAGTTCTAATCTAGACTCTAGCCCAGGGGTAGGCAACCTTGGCTCTTTTATGACTCGTGGACTTCAACTCCCAGAATTCCTGAGCCAGCATGGCTCAGCTTGGAAATGTCTCCCTTTCCCCTCAGCATGGCTGGCTCAGGAATTCTGGGAATTGAAGTCCACAAGTCATAAAAGGGCCAAGGTTGCCTACCCCTGCTCTAGAGGATGGCGTTTCCCATCCCTGCCAGGAAAACTTTTTAAATAAATTTTAAAAAAATCTGCATTTTTGCCAGCTGCAAAGCTGCAGACAGACTCGATCCGAGCTGCAGACTGAGGCCTCGGTTCTCTTAGGATCCTGAGGCAAGAATTCATTGTTCCACCGGTCCCTCTTGTTGGGCCAGATCTGATTGTTCTATAATCTGACCGATCTCTGGGACGTGTCTCAGGGCAAGACGATTAGTGCAGTGGAAGAAGGTGGTTTCCTTGGGAGTGACTTGCAGTTGAGGCATAAAGCAAGGTCCAAGGTTGAACTACTAAAACTATTAAAATAAGATTTTCACGCCTGAAAAGTTCAGCTCACCAGCAGCAAAAAGTTCTGTTCTTTTAAATCGGGGCAAAGCAGAGAGATTTAAGGCAATTTTTTTTTTAGCCTAGGCGCAGGGTTAGGCAACCTTGGCTCTTTTATGACTCGTGGACTTCAACTCCCAGAATTCCTGAGCCAGCCATGCTGAGGGGAAAGGGAGAGGTTTCCGAGCTGAGCCATGCTGGCTCAGGAATTCTGGGAATTGAAGTCCACCAGCCATAAAAGAGCCAAGGTTGCCTATCCCTGTTTTAGGGGTTCATGTCTCCCCAGTTTATAAGCCCCCAGGGGCTCCCTAGGCTTCCATTGATTGTGTATTATGAACCAAGCCCTTAAGCCCTAAAAACATCCTTTGCAGGCAAGTCCCATGTCAGCTCAGCCAACTCTGGTTTAGAATAGGATAGACTGACAAGAGTTGGAAGGGACCTTGGAGGTCTTCTAGTCCAACCCCCTGCTCAGGCAGGAAACCCTATACCAGGGGTCTTCAAACTTGGCCCTTTTAGGACTTGTGGACTTCAACTCCCAGAATTCCTCAGCCAGCCACGCTGAGGGGAAAGGAAGAGGTTTCCAAGCTGAGCCGTGCTGGCTCAGGAATTCTGGGAGTTGAAGTCCACATTGATTTAGCGATTGTCAAAGCTACAAAAGCACTGGAAAAAAACCCTGACTTAGGAGCGTTTTTCACGCTTACGACCGTCGTGGTATCCCCATGATCACGTGATCAAAATTCAGGGGCTGTTTTTACGACAGTTGTGGAATTCAGGGGTTCAAGTGATCGCCATTTGCAACTTTGGGGAGGGGGCAAAATCAATGGGGAAAGCCAGATTCACTCAACGACCGTGTGATTCACTTAACAACGGAAACAGAAGGAAGTAGCCCGCTTCTTGAATCTGCATTCAGACTTACTTGGAGATGTGTGTTTGAAATCCTTCCAGCTTCGTCCGGACTGAGGTCAACAATTCATATACTTTTTCCTAGAACAGAGAAAGAGAGATAGAGGGGGGGAGGGGGAGGGGAAAAATAATAATTTAATTGTAATTATAAGGTAAAGCAGTGTTTCTCAAACTCAGCAGCTTTAAGATGGATGGACTTCCACTCCCAGAATTCCCCAGCCAGTGTGCTTTAAGATGAGTGGACTTCAAGTCCCAGAATTCCCCAGCCAGCTTGCTTTAAAATGGGTGGATTTCAACTCCCAGAATTCCTCAGCCAGCTTGCTCTAAGATGGGTGGACTTCAACTCCCAGAATTCCCCAGCCAGCTTGCTTTAAAAATGGGTGGATTTCAACTCCCAGAATTCCCCAGCCAGCATGCTTTAAGATGGGTGGACTTC